CCAATTGAAGAAAAAAGAAGTGGCGACAGGAGAGGGGCGCAAAAACAAGACGCCCCCTCGCCACTCAGAAAATCGTAGTATGAATACCATACCCTCGCAAGGAAAGAGTAGAAGCCTCAGGATAGGCGATACTCAATCCAGATCTTCTAGAACTCGTCACTCTAGGTCTGAGAGTACGAGATCTGAAAGATCATACACTGAAGGAAGCACGTATTGGCCCTCACATACGCACCAAACCAGATCTAGACAGACGGAGTTACCCAGGTCATCCGACTTATGAACCGTGCTCGAAGAAAAAGCACGATGCAAGGAGGATGCCAGGGCACGGGATCCACACAGAGTTTCTGCCTTACAGCGGTTGGCTCCTCGGATGCATGGAAGCGTCGAGGTTGGAATGCCAATACCGCGCCCTGCCTACGAACCAACGGACAAAGCATTAGCAAGGCTGCAGACTTCGCCGTTTGTTTCGGCGATTGAAAACGCGCCCCTACCATCAGGCTTCCTTCAGCCCAAATTCACTACATATGAAGGGAAGACGGACCCCTACTCCCACTTGAGCCACTTTCGCCAGGTCATGGCTGTATACAGGCGAAACGAGGCCCTAATGTGCATACTCTTCCCATCTAGCCTTGGTGACCTAGGCTTAACTTAGTTCGAGAAACTTCCAGAAGGCAGCATAGCCTCTTGGGCGCAATTGGCAGAGGCCTTCGTAACAAGGTTCCGAACGAACACTAAAACCCTGGTGGAGATTGACCAATTGCTCTCCATCGACATGGGTGATAAAGAAACCCTAAGATCCTACAATAGTCGCTACTGGGAGACATTCAATCAAATTGGAGACTGCCCCACCAATCTCGCCATTGCATAATATAAAAGAGGCCTTCCAATCGGGAATAGACTAAGGGACTCAATCACCATGACGCCGCCCCTCACCATGGAAGCCTTGATGGAAAGAGTGCATCAGCACATCAGGGTAGAAGAGGATGGCGCACGTGCCAAAGCAAAATCTGGGGCGACCACAGTACCAGAAAAGAAGACCTCTGTGAAGGTCAATGCAGTAGACCGATAGAACAGAAACGGATGTGGAAGACGAGATAACGGAGAAGACCCGGATAAAAGATGGTTGAGAATCCGCACTGCCATAACCACGGTATTCAAGAAACCGATATATCGGATTCTAAGCGAAATAAGAGATGAGCCTTTCGTCAAGTGGCCAACCAAGTTGGGAGAAGCACAGAAAGACTACGACGAAAGATCGCGGTGTACCTTCTATAAAGAAAAGGGGCACCGCACTGAGAATTACACGCCATTGAGACAACACCTGGAGGAATTGGTGGCAGCAGGACACTTGGATAAGTACATTGAAGGAGGGACGCAACCAGCTTCTCAGGATCACAATAACCCCAACGGGATGCCAGTAGACGCCCCACCTCGAGGCGTTATCAATGTGATACATGAGGTCTTTGAACCTGAGCGTGTATGCGAGCTCAGAGGATCAATCAAAAAGGCTGAACACTTAAGAGAGGTGCTAAGTGCCCAACCTGCCACCAAGAAGGGGAAGACAGAGGCAACAAACGTCATGTCTTTCGGATAAAGACTTAGAACGGATATATTGCCCTCACAATGATTCCCTGGTCATCACTCTCCGAGTCAAGGATTTTGACGTCAAGCGGATTCTGATTGACCAGGGTAGTTCATGTGAAATCATGTACTACGAAACATTTAAACAACTAAAGCTACGAGACAAAGACTTGGCGCCTGCTGTATCACCCCTAATTGGATTCAACTCTATGCCAGAATGGCCCGTCGGCAAAATAATCCTTCCAGTTAGAGCAGGAAGCGTGACAAAACAAGTGGAGTTCTGGGTATTGAAGGTCCCCTCCACTTACAACATCATCTTGGGCCGAACATGGTTGCATGCCATGCGATCGGTGGCGTCATCCTACCACCAAGTAATGCGGTTCCCCAACGACACCGGTGTAATTGAAGAATTCTATGGAGATCAGATCATGTCGAAGCAATGCTTCGTCACGGTAAATGGCAGCCGCGCTGCCAAAGGATACATTCATTCGGTGGAAGAACCTGAGAGTAATGAGCTATTCGCAGATGTCGGCAAAGCGGCAGATCAGAAAGCAGTGAAGGACTTGGTAGAGGTAAAAATAAATGAAAAGAACCCGGATAAGTTCTTTTTGCTCGGTTCGTTGTTGTCCAGCACTGAGAGATTAGAGGTCTTGGAATTCTTAACCTCTAACATCGAAGTGTTCGCCTGGACACCCTACGACAGGCCAGGCATTGATCCAAACTTCATCTGTCACCAACTCAATGTCCACCCATCTGCCAGACCAGTCATTCAGCACACTCGCAGATCGGCACTTCACCATGCCGAAATAGTGGCGGAAGAAGTAGGTAACCTGCTGGAGGCAGGATGTCACAACCCAAACCCGGCCCTATGGGTTTAGCACCGTAACCGGCCAGTAATCCGAGATTACCGAAGGCCTGCAGAACAGTAATATAGTAATACAGAGTACAGGGCCTGGTGGAAGCCAAAACAGTAAATAAACAATGCCCAATGAGCTGTGACAGTCTGTATGCACAAAGACTTCTCATACATTTATACATAAACAGTACAGAACAGTATACACACTATTTACAATCATTCAGATTAGGAACTCAATCCCTGCATAACAGTACAGTAAACATTCGGTCGATACAAAACAGTAAGACAGTACAGAAGGGGGAGTTGTAAAACACCCCTGAGCCTTAACAGGATAGGCTCGGAACCTCGCAGTGAGGCACATAGGCTGGCTTGACAAAACTGGAGTAACCCTGACGCTCCTAGCCGCGGTCTGGTGCCTGAACACCTACATATATATATGAGCAGTGAGCTAAAGCCCAGTGAATAACATAATGCGTAAAGAGGTTAAGAATGAATGTCCTTACAGTATGAAAACAGTTCAATTAAACAGTATTTCAGTTGTTCAGTCAGTACAGTCATATGTGGTACACCCATTAGCATAACAGTACAGTAAGCAGTAGGTCTTAAAAGACCGAACAGTAATGATGGCCATCAGTCAGTAAACAGTAGTGGTTCCAACAAGGGAACCGACAGAGATTTCTGTCACAGTAACAGTAAGCAGTAGGTGCTAAGGATGCCACAATACAGTTCAGAATATAGGACATACATTCATTCAGTTAACAGTAATCAGTTCAGAAAACAGTACAGTTCAGTTGTTTAGAAGATAATCATTTGTGAACATATCTTTACACAATCGTTACTCATAGAGTTCTGGGCTACAGTATGCCAGAGCGTGTCTCCCCAGTCGCCAACCCTACACAGTTAACAGATTGAACACACTAAGCTACACACCTGGGAAAGATAATAACTTAATCCCTAATTTGCCTCGGTGTGTTCTACATCTATATCCTTAGTAAGATGTCTTAAACTAGGCCTAAGAATGCCTAGGATGAGATGAGGATGCAAAGATGTGATCAGAAAACAGTTTCAGAAGTTTCAGAAAACAGAGTCCCGCTCGAGTGCAGGTTTACCCGCTCGAGCGGACATGCAACAAAGGTACACGCTCGAGCGTCAACTCTCCCGCTCGAGCGTACTGTAAAAGTACTAGATGGGTGAAATCTCCGCTCGACGCCCGCTCGAGCTTGAGACACACGACTCCGCTCGAGCGCCCAATCCTTCGCTCGAGCGGACTGTAAAACAGTGCAGAGAAAATACTGGATGCTCGGATTCCACGCTCGAGCACCAATTTCCCCACTCGAGCGGAAGTGCAAAATCTGGGAATTCCATATTACACCTCCAAGCCAAAACTAGGTTCAAATGCATCAAAACCAATCCTTTTGGGCCCATTTTTCTGGAAAACCTTTATAAACACATAGAATAACATGGTTCAAAGCTCAATTTGAGAAATCAAAGCCCAAGGGTGTTTAATTCAAACTCAATGTCAAATCAATATCAAGAACAATATGAACATGCAAACATGCATGAATTTTAAACAACTTCAAAGTTCAATTTGATGCTCTAAAGGAGCCGGTTGATCCAAAAACAAGTTGAAAACATGGACCATTACAAGGGTATGGACATGTATGTACCATTTTACCATGAAATCAACTCACAACTCAGCAATTCAAACATGCATGCATGAAATGAGCTTCAATTCACCATGTATAAACTAAAACATGACTTAGCTCTACAACTAATCATGAACCATGGAAGAATTAGCTCAAACATAAGAATGAGAAGATGAAATCCTTACCTAAGTCTTGAATTAGGAGACTAGGAGCTCAAATATGCAATCTATGCTTCAATCCTCTTAAATTTCCAAGCAAAACCAAGCAAAGTGAGATGAAATCTACCTCTCAAGTCTCTCTCTCTCTCTCACTAAGGTCGGCAAGGCCAAGGAAGAAGGCTGAGGAAAACGTTTTGATCCAAGTGTGCAAGGCTCTAATAGTGACTAGGTAGTGGGCCACTCATGTGGCAAAAGTGTAAATAAGCCTAACATTTGCAATTCAATGATCTTTAATCTAATTTAATCATACCTAATCAGTTTTCAGATAAATACACCATAAGATCACATTAATTATGAGGATCATAAAACATCAATCAATTCCCGGTTTGGCCGCCGATAAGGCCTTCAATTAGCAGTTTAAACATAAAACGTGAACAGATCAAGTAAACAATCTAACAGATAGAATACAGATTAACACACATACTCAGTCGATTCAGTTCCAGTTTTCAGTCAGTCAGTTCAGTACTTTAATCAGTTCAATTATCAGTCATAATCAGTTCAGTTCAACAGTAATCAATGTTTATCGGTAAGCAGTGATGAGGGTTATTACATGTTGAACCATAATTCTAAGTACCCATAAATAAATAAATAAAAACTCAAGAATTTAGTCCATTTTTTTTTAGGAGGAGGGGTACATACATTGCAGGTTTTGAAGAAGCAGGATACATACATTACCATCACCAACAACAGTAGGTTTTGAAGAAGCAGAGGCTGCATTTATGAAAAGAATTCATCGGAGCTTCTAAATACACTCGCTTATTTTCTCTCTACACTCACTATATGCATTCTATATCTTGTATGTTACAAAGAAAAATTTGTGGATATAGGTGTAGAGATGAACTTGGCGGGAGTGTGGTGGGTTTAGAAACTCCCAATTGCATCATTTAAAACGAGGATTATTATCCAAATGAAATTGTTTCTTTTGACGTTGCAACATTTTTTCCATTTTGTTTTCCATAGCATTTAAAACAAGTACTCTATTTTATGTAAAAAATCATTTACAGCATTGTATGAGAATATCACCAATTATATTTATTTTCGAAAGTGGATCCATTCTGTTTTGCAATCATCCAAGTCTGATTGGAGCTTTCTTTGCAATGACACTATACTAATGATGCATTTGGTTCTCTAGATGCCATGGAAATAGAAAAATCCATGGTATTTAATAATGCAATAAGAAGCTGAAATATAAAGCTGACCTGTGTAACCCACTGTTCTCTCTGAGTCATATATCTCAAAGTCATTTCCTCCCTGCTCAAACAAACACCCAAGCCCTTCATTTAGTCCTAAAAGAGTACTAAAAAAAGTTAATGAACAAAGGGCAAAATTTACTTTACCCCATATGGTTTACTCCATGTGTTGTCTACGCTCAGATGTTTAAAATAAGCATATAACTCTCTATGGTTCGAAGATTAAAGTGCACCGTCTATACACTTCAGTGAAAGGATCAAAATACCTCTGATGTAGCCTTAACATTGAGCAAACTAAGGGCATTTTTGCCATCTTTTTGGGCATGAAATGTGTTTTAACAGAACCATTCGCATTCCAAGCACATGTTTTCACAGAAGCTATTAATTTTGATGGTGCACCAAATCATAGGTAGGTTATATGCTTATTTCTAAATATCAAGAGGGGTAAACCACAAGTAGAATTAACCATGGGGTGTTGAAGTGAAGTTTGCCCCCCCAAAAATAAATGATCTAATACAACACATCACCACAGGGAATCAAAGCTTCTGAACAAGCTCATGGCACATGGAAAATAAGTGCAAACACTAACAGCTGGCACAAACATATGAAAAATCATAAAAAAAATACATTATTATCTCAAAATACCTGGCCAAGCATTGTAGCCTCAGATTCAATTCCTCCAACTCCCCAGCCAGCAACTCCTAAGCCAACAATCATAGTTGTATGGGAATCAATTCCAACCACGCTATCAGGGTACAAAATGCCATTTGTGTAGAAAACAACCCGTCCAAGGTATTCAAGATTAACCTAAAAATTACCAGAGTCACTTGCTAAATGCCAAACCAAATAGTATTATAGTGCTAAAAAAATGAGAAAATTTGGACTATGATTTACAAGAGGCTAGAGGTAAATGTGGCTTTACTCCAGAAGCCCCACAAATAGTTAAACATTGCAAACCTCATGTATTGAGCCTATGCCTATCTAATGTTTTGGCCCTTTTACGAGTAAATCATTCATACCACCTTAAGGTCAAATTCTTGCACCTTGCCATGAGAATTTTCCTTAACAACAATATAACATCTAGATATTTCACCACCAAACATTGCTAAATCAATCTACAAAATAAAGTTCAATTATTTTGATAAGTAAAAAGAAGATAATTCAAATCAAATAACATAAAAAGAAACCAGTTTGTGACATTTGAAATGAATTCACCATCACGATCAAATGCCAAGAGTTAGAACCCAAAAAAAATAATAATAACCCAAAATTTGGCATGATACGAGACAGTAATTTAATTCAAGCCGAATGAACTTATAAGACAAGACAAGAGCCAAAATAACAAAGGTTGAGGTAAGAAGGTGAGGAGGTATGGCTTTGGATAAAGCTGAAAGGGAAAAAAATTAGAGTCTAGATTGAAGAAAAGTGTTGCCTTAGATATATCAGAATTGTGAAAAGAATTTGTAAAGCAGACCCCATATAGTTGGAATAGAAGACAGTACTATTACTGACTCGAGATTAATACACAAGTATGAGCCATATATTTGTGCCCAGACCTTTAAAAGATTCACATCAAGGGAATGTCGCATCTGCTGCTCCATGGATTATAAGATGATTGGTTTTAATGCACCTATCATCTGTAATTTTTAGCCAAAAAGTTTTTGAACCAAGCTTTCATGAGAGCATTTTTGACATAAACATTCCAAAAGCTATTTATGGCTCCTTCGTCAAGTTTCATTGGGAGGTTCCAGACAATGATTTCCAAATATGTGGTTAAAGTCAGATAGTACCACCCAATGATAAATTTCAGGCTCTATAAGAAAAGGTTGACCATGAATCTATGGATTGGGTGAGAGTTGGAATGACGTCACCCAATTCTATGATTAATTGCTGACATTGATTTTCTTTTATATATAAGTAAATAAAGAATTTATCTTACTCCGATGGCATGTATCCAAATGTACCCACAAGACGTGTGGGCAGCGAAGTACTCCCTACTTCAGTCAGCTTTGTTAAGCCAAAATTTGCAACTTGGAAAAGACATATTTACCACAATTATGATGACCATCACATGGTCAACAATGACTATAGGACTGTAAGGAAAAGGGCATCAACACAACCTTGCCGCGATAGTTTTTGTCTATCAGTATATTTGCTGATTTGATATCACGATGGATATAGACAAGAACAGTATGCTCATATATATATTCAAGTCCTCTCGCTGAATCAAGGGCAATTTGCACCCTTGTAGACCATGGCAGGGGGTCCCTCCCTGCAAACATAAATTTTTTTTTGGATAAATAAACTTACTTCATTAAGGCAACATCAAGATGATGCAAATAATACAAAAATGCCCCAGCAATAAGCTAGCAAAAGAAAGCAAAACCAAGAAACAAAACCAATCAACTACCTAAACCTGTAAACATAAATTTAACCACCAGCATTGTTTAAAAGCACTACTGCTAGATAAAGTCTTGACATGCACATCTTGTCTCACCTCCACGTAAATGTTCACTTAAATTGCCATTCTCGATAAATTCACAGACTAAAAAAAGAGAGCCCTCTACGCAATACCCAATCAAACGCACCTGCATTAGATGCCAATGTAAGTTACAATGTCTATATAAATACATATATGTATATATACTTAACATCGTCCTTTATATTTCAAAGATCAATCAGTTAAAAGATAAGAAAAAGTCGCTTAATGATATCACAATCAAAATTAGAAGACAATTGGACCCTCAAGTTTCCATCAACAACAAAATTGTACTGTAACAACCAACCTACTGAAATTCCATATGATAATACACTTTAAATATTCATCTCCTACCGTAGAAGACTAAACCTGTGAATACCTCAACCACAGAGACTTTTAAACAATCAAAAAAAAAATCATGATAAATTAAATGGCGCAATGTAAATATATTGGTCGTCAAATTACCATGAAATGATAAATTCTGGAGGATTAAAAATAAAAAGGATTCCCCAAAATGGAAGTAAATATCAATCAATTCCAATTACTCCAGGTTCTAAATGTCAGTGAAGTCCATATCAAATCAACAGAAGTGCATGTGCATATATTTACTAACAAGATAACCACATCTCAGATTTAAGCATGATGGTATGTCTGTAAAAATCTGTGGTACACGCACAAAATATCAAATCATGCAATGACAATAGAGAACAGACTAACCCAACCAAGACAATTAAACAATATCTTTCACACTGGTGAAGTGAAACTTAAAACTAGTAAATTGCCAAAAAGTCGCAACATCAGCAATGCACAAGAAGCCAATAGAAAGAGGGCACAACATTCGCAAAGTCTAGTTTTGAAAATGTAAAAATGAAGAGAGCAATTTCTACATTTCACTGTTTCAGTAGGGAAGAACTGCATACTTGAGGTTGGAATCCAATGTAATGATTAATGACCCAATTGTCGCAATGCACATTCATAGTCATCCACCAGTCTCTGTTAACTTCTCGAGAATAGTATAAAAGTGTGTTTAAGAAGAAGTTGCATCTACATGTGCACACAAAAACATGCGGGTGATGTGGCTGTATTTAATAAGCCACTGATTACATTTTTAAGGGGATATGCATTAACTGTGTTCATAACCAACTAATATAGTCTAAATTTCCAAAACCATCCCTCTATTTTACTCTATTAAATGCATTCATACTCAATAGAAGGCTAGCAATTCTGCTTTGTAGAAGAAAGTGTTGGGCAACTGAGATGAGAATGCATTGGATAGATTTGTGGTAAAACTAAAAATGATAGATTAGAAATGAATATATTCATGAAATGGTAGGAATAGAGAGAGAACTACTTAACATGGAAGACTTGAGCTGACATCTGATGCATACTCACCACAATCAAAGAAAATATAAATTTTTTTAATTTAAAAAAACAAACAAACTTTGAGAGAGAGAGAGAGAGAGAGAGAGAGAGAGAGAGACTTCATACCTCAAAACCCTAGTTCATTGGAGAAAAAGACTGGTTTCTTTGAACTTGTTGGAACTTGGACTCTGACTGCAAATCAAGCTTAACAAGTAATTTTATAACATGATTGCAAAATATTACTTGTAACTTACTCGAATATCAAGCAAATCGTACTTACTATTTAATGAGTTTCACTTATTATTTCATTAAACTTACTTACTACTCAATTAAATTTCACTTATTTGTATTGCCCCAAAATTTCTCCAACATAATCTAGGTACATCGACTAACATTCATTTTAGAATAAGAGTAATTCCCAAATCATCATAACATTGATCATTAAAGTTTGTACAAAATAGTCCCAGATGCGAATTATACATTCAATAATATTACATACATGAATCTATAGCATGTGGAACGTCAAATTCAAAAGTAAATAAAATGCCCACAAGGGCTTACAAATTCCAAGGCTTAAGCTTGGTTACACAAAAATAGTCTCTCGAACTCAAACAGTTATAGCCCTAGGCTTACAAAATACAATTGCAACAAAACAGAGCCTTATGCTCTATATACATATATCCACGCCCTAGATTGGCGGGTTCACGACGTCCTTTCCTGCACCAAAATCCCATAGGGGTGAGCATAAAGCCCAGTAGAGAATCCTTAACAAAGTATATACATTTATGCAAGATTCCCAATATGAAATGCAAATGTCATTCTACACCATTTAAAAGAAGATTTCATTTTTTTCCATCTTATGAAAACCACCATGCTCAATGATAATTTGAAATCTCAACAATAAGTAAATTTACAATTTGATTCAATAGGGCGGTAAATACGACTCAGGTAATCCCTAGGTTGGTGTCTGCAAGTAGGCTTAACTAGCACTACCAAGCCCCACTTTACCAGTTGCTAACCGGAAGGAAAGTGGTACCTCCTCCACGCTTGTTTTTGGTCTTTCACCTTTAGTCGAGTTTTCAACTCCTGGAAAGCAGATTCTCTTTGGTTAGTCTAGTCAAATGATATCCCCTTCTGAGTCAGTTGAGTCAACGGTAAAGCAATTTTGGAGAAATCTCTGACAAATCTTCTGTAATATCCAGCCAAACCCTAAAAGCTTCGGACTTCTATCACGTTTGTTGGTCTAGGCCAGTTCACTACAGCTTCAATTTTCTGCGAATCAACAGAAATTCTATCTTTGCTAACAACATGCCCCAAAAACATAACATGGTCAAGCCAAAACTCACATTTAGATAGTTTAGCATACAGTTTTTGTTCTCTTAAGGTTTGTAGGGCAAGTCTCAGATGATGTTCATGTTCTTCTATACTTTTGGAGTAAATTAGTATGTCATCAATAAATACAACAATAAAATTGTCAAGGTATGGTTTAAAAATTCTGTTCATGAGGTCCATAAATGCAGCTGGTGCGTTCGTGACTCCGAAAGGCATAACTAAAAATTCCTAATGTCCATACCTCGTTCTAAAAGCAGTTTTATCAATGTCATCTGATTTAACTTTCAACTGATGGTATCCGGATCTGAGATCAATCTTCGAAAATACTTTAGCACCCTGTAACTGATCAAACAGGTCATCAATACGCGGTAACGGGTATTTATTCTTTACAGTTACCTTATTCAGTTCACGATAGTCAATACACAGTCTCAGTGAGCCGTCTTTCTTCTTTACAAACAGAACAGGTGCACCCCATGGTGAGGTATTGGGTCTGATGAACTTTTTATCTAGCAGTTCTTGCAGTTGCACTTTCAGTTCCTTCAGTTCTGTTGGAGCCATTCGGTAAGGAGCTTTCGAAACTAGCTGTGTTCCGGGAATCACATTAACAGTAAATTCAATCTCCCTATCAATCAAATCCCCTGGCAAATTGTCTGGAAAAACATCTGGGAATTCTCTGACTATAGGAATACAGTTCACATTAGCATTATCAATGTCATCTGATTTAACTTTCAACTGATGGTATCCGGATCTGAGATCAATCTTTGAAAATACTTTAGCACCCTATAACTGATCAAACAGGTCATCAATACGCGGTAACGGGTATTTATTCTTTACAGTTACCTTATTCAGTTCACGATAGTCAATACCCAGTCTCAGTGAGCCGTCTTTCTTCTTTACAAACAGAACAGGTGCACCCCATGGTGAGGTGCTGGGTCTGATGAACTTTTTGTCTAGCAGTTCTTGCAGTTGCACTTTCAGTTCCTTCAATTCTGTTGGAGCCATTCGGTATGGAGCTTTCAAAACTATTATGTCAGCAAGACATTGCTGGGAGTCGAAACAAGGTATTTGCCACTGGAAAAACTGGCATTAGCCTTAATGATGGCCTCTAGGAAATTGGCACACTACTTTCACGCCCACACCATAGTTGTCTTCACAGCTTTTCCACTAAAAGCTTTGTTTGAGAGGGCGAACTTTTCTGAGCGAATTTTGAAGTGGGCAGTAGAGCTGGGACAATTCGACGTCAAGTTCCAACCTAGAACCGCAGTAAAGGCCCAATCTTTGGCAGACTTCATCGCAGAATTTACTCCAGGAAGTCATCATATCTGCCCAGTCGACCTAACTGACACAATCGAACTAGGGATGGAAGTTGATGCCGGAATAGCGCAACCCCTAGCAGAAGGCACTCAGTCAGACTCCAAGGCAGACCAAACTAAAGACAGCAAGGAAGAAACAAACCAAGCTTCAACAAACCAAGACTCACCAACAAATAAATACTTAGTTCAATCAGATAGCGAGGGACAGACAACAAGCATGGACCTTGAAGAAAACACTAGCAACATTCTTGACCCCACGACATCATCCGACCCCTCCACCTGCTGGAAGTTGTTCGTTGGCGAGATGTGGAAGCTCTTTGTGGATGGAGCATCCAACCGGCATGGTGCAGGACTTGGCATAGTTCTCATCTCACCAGACGGCCTGGTTGTGGAGCAAGCAATCAACCTTGGCTTCCCAGCATCGAACAACGAAGCGGAATATGAAGCACTTCTAGCAAGACTCAAATCAACATACGATATGAAGGCCACCGAATTAATGGTCTACAGCGACTCACAGCTGGTGGTAAACCAAATTTCTGGCGA